ACAGATTATGGGCCCAGACACTAAACAGAACACTGCAAGTCAACAAGAGCCGCATCCAAGCTACTGAAAGGTGGCAAGCAGTTCAGATATGATATTTGCAATCGCAAAGCTAAACAATAGCAACTACCAGCAGGGCCGCCGTCAGGGGGGTACGGCCAGTACCATTGTAGGGGGCCCCGGCGGCCGGGGGGGGGGCCCGGACTTCAAGCTATAATTTTCCCCATAGACTTATAAGAATAGCACCATCTGCCTGGTCCTGGGCCCCCTGCGCTGTTGGTACCTTCCTACGAAGTGCTTACAGGGGGGCGGAGCTAACTTTCACTGGGCAGAAGCGCCAGAGATCGTGGTTGAAGAGGAGCATGTCTGCTGCCGCCTGCCTGGGAGGGGAAAAGTAAGTGACAGACCCAGCAGACAGAGACCCCGGGGTGGTGGGGGTTGTGATATAGACTGGGGGGAGAGAGACAGATCGACCGACGCTGAGAGCTTCTTAGCATCGGTCGGTGTGTCTCTCTCCTGCTTGCCTCTCTCCTCTCAGCATGGTTGGCCTGTGTCTCACTCTCTCCCCCCTCCCCTCAGAGAAGGGGGGGGAGAGAGTGAGAGAGACCGACGGACACTGAGAGGGGGGGGTGTGCAACGGACAGAAATGATGGAGTTAGGTGCATGCCCAGGGACAGTTTACAGTATACAGGCAACACAGGCAGCCTGAGGGCACTGGTGAGCAGGGTGGAAAAATCGGAGCACAGACGCAGCATACAAACTTCCTGAGTGAAGGAGCTACGTCCTGTGTAATTGTCAGGCCCCTCCCCCTCTTCTCTGAGTGCCGACTTTCGAGCTGATGAGGTCGTGCTGTGCTGCTGGCTGTCAGCTCTGTAATGTCCCATCTCCAGATCTCCTCATAGTAAGCAATCCTTACTGCTGTGTGTCCTGTATACAGGATCGTTTGTCATGTGTCCTGCTCCCGAGCTGGGGGAGGGAGAGGAGAGAGATAGTGTGTATGTGTGATGCATTTATGCCGCATAATCCTGTCCACAGACATTTCATTTTACACAACTATATAACAACATTTTATTCAGGAATAAAAAAAAAAATCTTCCCTTTTAACTTCTAACCCTAACGTTATTACACACTAACAGCTATAGAGGACTACAAATCCCAGCAATACATTATAAGGCAATGCCGAATGGCAACCAGCTATAGAGGACTACAGATCCCAGCAATACATCATACATCAATGCAGGATAATACTATTATTCTGCATTCCTGTATAATGTATTGCTGGACTTTTAGTCCTCTATAGCTGGTTGCCATTCGGCATTGCTGTATAATGTGTTGCTGGGCTCCTGTGTAATATCAGTGAAGTCCAGTGACAAAAAATAGTGAAAAAAATAAATAACAATTAAAAATGTAAATACATAAAAATTAGGGCTGTGCAAATTAACGATTAATTTTCTCGATTAATCGTTAATCTTTTTGCTCGATTAAATTTTTTTTGATCGATTAAATTTTTTTTGAAACTTTCTGCACGAGCGCCAGCCAAGGCATTGGCCTATGCACATACAGCACAGCAATGAAGTAATAAAATGAACAAGGATCACACTAATCCAGCACGTTGTCCTTGTCTTGTCTTTATTCAATGAAGTAATAAAATGAACAAGGATCACACTAATCCAGCACGTTGTCCTTGTCTTTATTCCAGGAATCATGTAGACAATTGGGTTCGTCCTTTGAAAAGTAGATCTCAATACAAAAAATTGTGGGCACCCCTGATGTAGACAGATGGATATACACCAGCAGAAAATACAAGCGATCGCGCATGAGTGCTTGTATGTAAACAGCCTCCCGCCCATCATACCCTCCCCACTCCTTTCCTGCACATATTGCCCTCTGTCATGCCCTCCACAATCCTCTCCTGCACATAGTGTACCCCCTATTACCCTCCACAATCTTTTCCTGCACATATTGTACCTCCTAATACCATCCACACTCCTCTCCTGGACAAGCTACCTCCTGCCATACCCTCAGCATTCTTATCCTGCACTCCCCCACCAATACCCATCACCCCTGTCATACCCTCCACACTTCTCTCCTGCACATACTGCTCCCTATTATACCCTCCACTCTCCTTTCCTGCACATATTGCCCCATCATACTCTCCACACTCCTCTCCTGCACATATTGCCCGTATCATACCTTCCACACTCCTCTCCTGCACATAATACCCCTGCCATACCTTCCAGCACTTTTCTCCTGCACATATTGCCCCCCGTCATACCCTCCACACTCCTCTCTTTCACATATTCCCCCTTGTCATACCCTCCACACTCCTCTACTGCACATATTGCCCCCGTCATATCCTCCACACTCCTGTCCTGCACATATTGCCCCTTGTCATACCCTGCACTCTCCTCTCCTGCACATACTGCCCCTATCATACTCTCCGCACCCCTCTCCTGCACATATTGCCCCTTGTCATACCCTCCACACTCCTCTCCTGCACCTATCGCCCCTATCATACCCTCCACACTCCTCTCCTGCACCTATTGCCCCTATCATACCCTCCACACTCCTCTCCTGCCCATATTGCCCCTATCATACCCTCCACACTTCTCTCCCGCACATATTGCCCCCATCATACTCTCCACACTCCTCTCCTGCACATATTGCCCCTTGTCATATCCTCCACACTCCTCTCCTGCACCTATCGCCCCTATCATACCCTCCACACTTCTCTCCCGCACATATTGCCCCCATCATACTCTCCACACTCCTCTCCTGCACCTATCGCCCCTATCATACCCTCCACACTTCTCTCCCGCACATATTGCCCCCATCATACTCTCCACACTCCTCTCCTGCACCTATCGCCCCTATCATACCCTCCACACTTCTCTCCCGCACATATTGCCCCCATCATACTCTCCACACTCCTCTCCTGCACCTATCGCCCCTATCATACCCTCCACACTTCTCTCCCGCACATATTGCCCCCATCATACTCTCCACACTCCTCTCCTGCACCTATCGCCCCTATCATACCCTCCACACTTCTCTCCCGCACATATTGCCCCCATCATACTCTCCACACTCCTCTCCTGCACCTATCGCCCCTATCATACCCTCCACACTTCTCTCCCGCACATATTGCCCCCATCATACTCTCCACACTCCTCTCCTGCACCTATCGCCCCTATCATACCCTCCACACTTCTCTCCCGCACATATTGCCCCCATCATACTCTCCACACTCCTCTCCTGCACCTATCGCCCCTATCATACCCTCCACACTTCTCTCCCGCACATATTGCCCCCATCATACTCTCCACACTCCTCTCCTGCACCTATCGCCCCTATCATACCCTCCACACTTCTCTCCCGCACATATTGCCCCCATCATACTCTCCACACTCCTCTCCTGCACCTATCGCCCCTATCATACCCTCCACACTTCTCTCCCGCACATATTGCCCCCATCATACTCTCCACACTCCTCTCCTGCACCTATCGCCCCTATCATACCCTCCACACTTCTCTCCCGCACATATTGCCCCCATCATACTCTCCACACTCCTCTCCTGCACCTATCGCCCCTATCATACCCTCCACACTTCTCTCCCGCACATATTGCCCCCATCATACTCTCCACACTCCTCTCCTGCACCTATCGCCCCTATCATACCCTCCACACTTCTCTCCCGCACATATTGCCCCCATCATACTCTCCACACTCCTCTCCTGCACCTATCGCCCCTATCATACCCTCCACACTTCTCTCCCGCACATATTGCCCCCATCATACTCTCCACACTCCTCTCCTGCACCTATCGCCCCTATCATACCCTCCACACTTCTCTCCCGCACATATTGCCCCCATCATACTCTCCACACTCCTCTCCTGCACCTATCGCCCCTATCATACCCTCCACACTTCTCTCCCGCACATATTGCCCCCATCATACTCTCCACACTCCTCTCCTGCACCTATCGCCCCTATCATACCCTCCACACTTCTCTCCCGCACATATTGCCCCCATCATACTCTCCACACTCCTCTCCTGCACCTATCGCCCCTATCATACCCTCCACACTTCTCTCCCGCACATATTGCCCCCATCATACTCTCCACACTCCTCTCCTGCACCTATCGCCCCTATCATACCCTCCACACTTCTCTCCCGCACATATTGCCCCCATCATACTCTCCACACTCCTCTCCTGCACCTATCGCCCCTATCATACCCTCCACACTTCTCTCCCGCACATATTGCCCCCATCATACTCTCCACACTCCTCTCCTGCACCTATCGCCCCTATCATACCCTCCACACTTCTCTCCCGCACATATTGCCCCCATCATACTCTCCACACTCCTCTCCTGCACCTATCGCCCCTATCATACCCTCCACACTTCTCTCCCGCACATATTGCCCCCATCATACTCTCCACACTCCTCTCCTGCACCTATCGCCCCTATCATACCCTCCACACTTCTCTCCCGCACATATTGCCCCCATCATACTCTCCACACTCCTCTCCTGCACATATTGCCCCTTGTCATACCCTACTCCTGTACTACAATTTGCAGATACAAACATACAAAAAAAGCCTCTGAATTGTTTTCGTTATGCTCACACTTAGGCGTGAAAGGAGCCTTAATCATATCTGGGAAATCAACACTTACATACAGTTTATGACATCATTATAATCCATGGTATTGTTTCTCTAGAAAACATACATATGATGGAAAGCCCCAGTTTCAGTTTCGCTTTTTGCTTGTGACTAGGCAGGGGTGAAGTTGGGAGATCTCCTCAGCTCTTCATCAGTGACAGAGCTAAGCTGTTTGAGGTTCGTCTGCTGGACTTCACAGAAACCCTAAAGGGCCCCTTTGCTGCACTTTCCATTTAGGTAAAAAGAAAACCAATCCTTCTGGTTTAAAAAGGCTGACAAGGAAACTGAGATCTAGTGTGACTGAAGACTGAGCTGGGTGACACACACTGCAGAATTAAGAATCCGCAAATACTGAACGCTGAGGTCAGGTGAGTCTTAGCACAGACATCGCTACAATGACCCCGTCAAGTTCCCAAATTTCTTTGCAATCTACGTTATATTTTCCTCTATTCAACTATTATTTTATACGTGAACCTTTCCTGAGAGAGATTCTGTAAATACTCTTTTACCGTCTTGCTTCAGTACTTTGAATGCAGATAAAGATGTCTGACTTTACTGATAAACATTTTTGTTCCGGGTTGGTGACTCAAACAGCAGTGAACACAGTTGGCCAGATAACTAACATCTTCTGCAGATAGCAATGATTGCCCCCATGCAATGACACTCAACTCAGGAGTTAAGTCTTAAAAATACATTCAAGTACCTGAACTATTAACAAAAATGTACCTTATTTGTGTATCACTGAGCTGTAGATACTAAATCTCTGACTTGGTGCTGACACTGTCCTTCCTTCTGGAGGGTGGCTACGTTTGTTCCCCATGGTCACCGTGTGTGTTGTAAAGTAGCCACCGCTCCGAGCTCACTCCTCTGATGGATTACAATCTCAATTCAAATTAGTAAACTAAACGTGAGATTTTAGTCCATCACGGGAGTGAGCTTGGAAGGGTGACTACTTTGCAACACACACAATGACCATGGGGAACAAGTGTAGCCACCCTCCATAAGGAAGGACAGTGTCAGCGTGAATTCAGAGATGATTTGAAGATCTACAGCTGAGTGACACACAAATAAGCTAATTTGTTTTGTTATTAGTTAAGGTACTTGCATGTATTTGTAAGATTTAAGAGTTTAGTGTCACTTTAAGCTGCCTGTTATGCCAATCCTGTGGCTTCAAGTGTGTTACGGACATTGAACAAGAATGACAATCCGGAAAGTTGGGGAAAGGTCGGAAGGTCTTATTTGTGTATGTGTTCATTGCAAAGAATGCAAAGCATTGATGCAAGTGTTACAGCATTACAGGCCTGCAGCTAGAACTTGTAAATGAGAAGTCAGCGAAGGCAGTCTCCATATTCACAACTTCACAAAACGTGATGATGAACGCACGCCGCAGCATCATCACCTGCTGTGTTTGTGAATGGGTGAGCACACACGAGCTGGGGACACAACATCAGTGCTGGTGTCAAAGTTAGCTGCAGCATATGGGGTCGGTGGGGAAGTATGGTGGAAGCTGTTCAAAAAGACATAACTAAGGACACGTACCCTGTTTCCCTGAAAATAAGACCTACCCCGAAAATAAGACCTAGTACTATTTTTGGGAATTTCTAAAATATAAGACCTACCCCGAAAATAAGACCTAGTTGTGACAATTCCCAGGGCCGGTGGTGGCATAAGGGGGAACTTGAAGAGCCGCGGGAGAGGCAGGAGAGAATCAGCGGTGCCAACGAACCCAGCGCTAGAGGAGGCGAGGCGGCACTGGAGGGAGCAGAGCTGCATAAGCCGATGCCTCCTCTATAGCGCCGTCTCCTGTCACAGGAGGAGTGATACCAAATGTGCTCCGCCTGTGAGGAATCGATAGTGAAAGTGCACTTCGCTCATTCTGGCCAGCGATTGGTTAGCAAAATGCTCTTGTAAAGGTACGGCACCCCTGATCACCATATTTTTGTACATGAATAAGTGTAGATTGTTGTACATTAAAAAGAAAAATAAGACCTACCCCGAAAATAAGACCTAGTGTGTTTTTTTGAGCCAAATAAAATATAAGACAGTGTCTTATTTTCGGGGAAACACGGTACACACGGGTGCAAATACAAGTGTATCGGTTTACAGAGTAAAATACGCTTGTATTTGCAGCACCCGGGAGCCCCAGCTGTTGTATTTTCTGTCAATAAGCTTAAATCAACAGAAATCTCTGTACGCAGGTTTACGCATGTAAAACACAGATACTGGTATTTACACATACAGAAATACAGCTATATATCATGCCGTATGCCTATACTCCCTTATTTGTGCTCATGTGCATGAGCCCTATATGTCAAATTTCTATGTTGATTGATTAAAGAAAACCTAGCTGCATTGTAGAGGTAAGGCCCGAATAACACATCTACAGACATTAAACCATGGCGCCTGGAGTTCAGCCTATTCACATTTATGCTTTGTGTTAACATTCATACCTATTGTATGCGTGTTTTACCAGTGACATTTATTGTTAATGGAACCCCAAGGCACTGCACAGGAGCTGTTAACCTAGGGTAGTAGACCACAGGGACGTGCATTCATGGGAGGCAGAGCTTTTTCTGATCGGCTTGTAACAGGTTACACAGCAGGGAAAGCCTCTCAGGCAGCGCTGCATCCAGCTTTTGACAGGTAGTTAGGTTACACAGCAGCAGGCTTCCCCACTGCTTCTGTAACCTAAGGCCCGGTTCCCACCTGGGCGTTTTTCCGCATGTTCGTACTCGCGGAAAAACGCTCAAACAGGGAATTGCTATTATTTTCAATGTGCATGGTACCCATCTGGGCGTTTTTTCCGCGAGTACGAACGCGTGGGAAACCGCCCTACGCCCAAAGAAGTACATGTACTTCTTTGGGGCGTTTTGGTCGGGCGTTTCCATTGGGATACAGCCAAGTAGCCCTCAGAAACGCGGTAAAAACGTGCGACAAACGCACATATTCAATACGCCAAGTGTGAACACAGCCTAACATAGTGAGGCAAGAGCTGTCACACCCTCTACTCTGTGTTAGAGCCGTGAGCTCTGTGGATGGTTTGGACCAATGGCAAAGCGCCATTGGTATAAGCTGTACAATCAAAAAAAGAAAAAACACTGAGGCCATCTATCTCAATGCCTCAGCAGTGACGAGCAAGGGAGGCTCCTCCCTACTCTTCCCTTCCTCCTCCCTCCTCAAACTAGCTTGGTGACCGGGTTGGGGGAGGGGGGGGCTTCAGTGGGCTGGGGGCGGGACTGGGGAATGCCTCAACCAAATCCGGAGGTACACCACGTAACTGGTACACCACAATACATTGTTATTTTATCCCTAAACATATGCATCCCACAACCAGAAATATCATTTTACAATTACCCTACAAAAATGTGCTTTCTACAGCTGAAAGCCTTATTTTCTCATTATATTTTAGCGTGTTACCCTTCACTTCCTTCCTGTTCTCCACAATAGACGCCTCACTAAAACTCACAGATATCACCACCTTGAGGCTAGAGCCATTTTAAAGTGACTCCATCACTAACACTACAGGGTCACTTTTATCCAAAAGCTTACCTGTAAAAAAAGCAGGAGTATAGTTTCCGGCGGCATTTGTGTATTGCAAAAAGCCAACACAGGTGCTGCATGGTGTGTGTAGAATACTTGCTCCCCTCAACCAGCCGCTTTCGTTCCTCCTGCTGAGTCTTACGTCAGTACAGGAGGAGGAGAGGAACCAAAGTGGCCGGTGAGATGAGCAAGTATTTGACTCATCCAGCATTGGGTGGGGAGCAAAGATACAGCGGCTTCCCAATATACAGGCTGTGGGAAATGTAAGTATATTACAGATGGCCTATTGGGTAAAAGTGATCAGTTTACTTATTTCTTTACAGGGACAGCTTTTAATTACATTTGCCAAACGAGTCTTTAAAAAGCAATAACTTTCTAAACTTGACTATTAGAGCTAAAATACCTCTAAAATAGACATAATAATGTAACTGCTGTAAATATAACAAGTGCTGTAACCTAATTCGATTCCTGAGGTAATGCCTTTAACAAGGTAAAATAAGCTATTTTCTCTAAGTACAAGCAAATATTGCAAAGAATTAAGCCTAATGTTGACAAAGAAGCTGCTGCTGCTGACTCTTGCATAATCTAATGACACTGTCAGATTGTCCTATGTTTACCCTGCTCTTGGTGAAGTCACAGACCTCATGACTTATTGGGTACATACGGTCACATATTTTCCATTCAGCCACGCAGGCTAACAGTGTGGATGAACGATTCTCCTGCTGCGTACAGAATACCTGAACAGTGCTAGCAGCTGACTATGTACAAGCACTGTTCGACCATTGCACTATATAGGTATTGTTTCATGGAAAAGAGGTTGTGCAATCAGATTGTAATGTAGGTGGTCGACTTTCTACCACAGTTTCCAAATGTACCCATTATGCAGGGCAAAGTAAGAGGTTCCCTTGATAGATTCTTTGCAGCTGATGATGATACTTACCCGCCCTGCGCTCCCATTACTCTGTGTTTCTCCAAGTAACCCTGGTCACTGCCTCCCATGGTACAGCACTCCACTCTCCCAGTGTTGCATTGTGGGAGAAAAGGAAGATACTCACACGATCCCTCCTGTGTAGGGGCACATGACTTGGCTTTAGGTTTAGAGAGTGGGGAAGGTACAAATCAACAGTGGAGTAGGGAGCAGTGTGGTCTATCAAATGAGCCTATTACTTCGCCTTTATAGACAGGTTATCTTTAAAGGGTATCGGAACAAAAAACAAACAAAGATTTAGGGGTCTATGTATAAATGTTTTCATTTAATAACCTTTACCCAAGATTCACCCATTGCAGCTTTGCAGCTTACCAGTCTGTAGATGTTGTGGCTGCATTTGTTTACTGTTTCAGACTTTTTTTGTCCTTTATTCTCACCTGGTGATTCTGCCAGTAGCATACTGCCAGTCCTATGATGACAACGCTTACTCACCCTTCTGTATCAGGACAACAGAAACCAGATAAGACTAAGGACCCCAACCCTCTCCTATTGTCCTAAACATATAGGGTGTGGTTCTGTATTTCTTAGATTACAATATAACTTATAACAGTCAGCACAAGCAGGGAGCACAGGAAGTTATCAGCTCAGAAGGTTTCTGGCAGGATCAACAGGTTTGTTTTTTAAACCTATCAAACAGATATAAGAACATTTTCAAATATGGCAAATATAACAGGCCAAAAGGGACTAAATAAGAGAATTTTAGGGGTTACATACACTTTAATCACTACCTGCTGTAGTTTCTGGACTCTCCCACTCCTCTGGGTGGCCCAGGACCATGGCGGATGCTGTCAGGAAGGAAAGCTGAAGAATGTCCATTCCCTGATCTACTCTATAATCACTGAAGCAGGAAGCATAGTGATCTCAGCACTTCCTGCTTCAGCGCTATCAGAAACCTGGCTGAAGTGTCGGTTACACAGGTGATACAGCACAGTCCTGTGCTTTATCATCTGCAGTGGAGGGCAGGAGAAACATCAGGGATCCCATGATGGACCCCTGATTTCTCTATAAACAGAACCTATCACCTCCCAATGCTATTATATAAGAGGGTTTAAGCCCCCTTGTGATAGCATAAAAGTTAAGTGGAAAAAAAATACAAAAGTGTTAAAAAATAAATAAAGAATAAATAATTTAAAAGCAACACGCCAAATTAATTCTTTGTCCAAAAATTCAGACTTTAAAGTGGACCTTTACCCACTTTTACTAAAAATCACATCAGCATTCAGCTCTGCATGATGATATAAAATTATCTTACATTCATTAGTTAAACAAACATGTTTTTTATTTACTTACAAATAGAGTCCATCTACTTCCTGGTCCAGTTCTGGCACAAATGATGTAATATGCCAAAGCATTGCATCCTGGGAAGGTTACATCAGCAGAGCATTGCTGGGAAGTCTCATCTGTAATCTCATGAGATCTCAGGGAAAGGCATTTTCCTCCCCTGAGATGATGTGCATGGTCACATGTGCCAGAGTCCAAGGAAGTAAATGGAGCGCTAGTAATCTGCCCTTAGTTAACATGGCCAATGTCAGAAGACTGGGGAAGAAAAGAGAAATAAGGAATGCAAACAATACAAAGCCGGCAATTATCTAGAAATATGTGTTTGTAGATTGTCATTACTAAACATTTGTAAAGGTGTGTTTGTTGTTATTTTAAAGATATGGGTAAAGGTCCGCTGTAACGTGTGAAATTTGTTTTTTAAATGTTCCGGTCCTGAGGGAGTTAAGATGTGATTTTTAAAATGAGCAGTGCGTTGTCCACAGCAACTGCATTCCAGCTCCCATCTTACTGTTGGTTTGAAAGACAAGGAATATGACTGGTTGCCCTGGGTAATGAACACAGTTTTCTGTTATCCAGTTTTATAAATAGATTGTTATAAGAGCAGCTAGAAATATGTAGACTCATTCCCATAGTAATTAGTGACAGTGTGCTTCCTAAACACAACTGATAATTCATAAAACATGAGGTTTAACAGATTACTAAAGGCTGGAGTTTTGTAGATCCATTTTATTTTGCTATATATATTGAACATAGGCACATAAATGCATTTTTTAAAAATGTTCAGAAACACAAGTTTGGTGTCTATCAGCGCAGCCGCGGGTTCCTGTGCACTGCTACCCCAAACTTCCAGCAAGATGTGCATACTAAACCAGTAAAGAAAAGTCACATGATCTCTGTCTTTAGGACTTCATGTCCCATCAGTTATTGTGCCACTGCATGCACACCCAGTTAGCAGATGCGAGGATGATGCCTGCACCGCAGAGGCAGTCCGACAGGACAGTAAAAAGAAGACCCTCCTATTCCCCGCTGTCAGTCACTTGTCTCGTAGGAGGAGAAAAGACATGCTATCGCACCCTATCACTGACGTGCACAGGCAGCATGTTCAGGTATTGCTGTAGTCCTATTCATGGGAGTGCGCAAGTAAGAGTGGCTCCATTGAACTGTGTAAGCCAAGGAGCCACCCTTACAATGGAAGTCGGGAGCAGCAGTAAAGGGACAGAATGAAATACAATGCAGAAGATGCAGACAACTATGCAAGTTTAATTTTCAACATCTAATATATGAAAAAAAAACATTATAACACTTTTAAGTGGCCTTACCTTAAAATTCTTACTTCAGAAAGTGCAACTGAATCCCAAACTTTTGTTTTTGTATGATTAGAGTGGAGAGGTATTAAAAGGCCTGTCAGGTTTCTATTGCCGTCTGTGACCCGTTAGGGAGATTCACCGTCTCTATTTGTTCTGGTGACCCTGCTGACCACCAGAATCTTCCTCTCTTTGGAGTGCAGGGAAATCCCCCAATGCGACAAAGATGGCAAAGGCCCCCCCCCATCCCAGCTACTTGCCTAGGCCTAGATTGTAAGCCCTCAGGGGCAGGGCTCTCCTTACCATCTTTTCTTGAATTGTATTGTGATTGTAATGTCTACCTTATATTGTAAAGCGCTGCGCAAACTGTTGGCGCTATATAAATCCTGAATAATAATAATAATAATAAGCAGTCTGGATGACATTGTCTCTGATTACTTTGCTGAAGAGGTGTTGTTGGTTTTAATCAACAGTGAGATGAGGATCAAAAAAATCACTATTGTCCACATTGTATAAAGCAAAGCTTTATCATTTGATGTTAGCATTTCACTAAATACAAATTAATTTTATAGATGGAGCTGCGGAGTTACCAGTGGGAAGTGATTATGCCAGCTTTGGAGGGCAAGAATATCATCATCTGGCTCCCAACAGGGAGTGGAAAAACTAGAGCAGCCATGTATGTGGCAATGAGGCACCTGGAAATGAGACCGCATGCCAAAGTAGCCATGATTGTGAACAAGGTAACTATGATTCCACATTCTGTAGTGTATGGTAGACTACTTATAGGTCCAAGACGTAACTCTGGCAGTTAAAGGGAATGCATAGTGGTTTTGTGTATATTTACTTTCTTGCTTTATTATGACATCAAAATAATTTTTTTTAATGTTTTTCTTTTTCATTTAAGTCTGGTAAATATAAAATATTTTTTTTGTTGTCTTTTTAGTTAGAGTGGCTTATGTTCACATGTTTACCTATCTTTTCCTAACTGTGTTGTAGAAAAAGGAGAGAGGAAATCAATAATTTTCTATGAATCCAGTGCCATGGGTACAGCCCTATTCTTATCTGTAAACAAAAACTTCATATATATATATTAGGGCTGTGCAAATTAACAATTAATTTCTCGATTAATCGTTAATCTTTTTGATCGATTAACATTTTTTTGATCGAGTAAATTTTTTTGGAAGCTTTCTGCACGAGCGCCAGCCAAGGCATTGGCCTATACACATACAGCACAGCAATGAAGTAATAAAATGAACTAGGATCACACTAATCCAGCATGTTATTAATCTCACGTGCCCCACTCAAGCGGCGACCATATTGAGTGGGAACCCGTGAGATTTAAAATACATTAAAGTGACATTAAAGTCTTATTTTTTTACATATCTCTACTGCTAGCAAGCAGTAGAGATATGCAAAAACATTAAAAAAAATAAAAAAAGTTACCAAATAGGTAAAAACCTACCTGTGTCTCTGCCGCTTGCTCCCGGCTGTAGACTACAGCTTCTCGAGTGGCTGTGCAGGAGGATGTGTGCGGGCGCATGGAAGTCACTGGCGGGGAGAGGAGAGCTACTGTGTAAGTCAATGCACGCAGCCGTGAGCGTGCACGCCGGACAGACTCCCTGGGACAGGAAGAGACAGCAGTCTGCGCTGGATCAGTGACTGGCAACAGTGCTGGAGGGACTGCTGAAAACTGAAAGGAAGAAGATGATCGGATCAAGAGGCATCACTTAAGGTGAGTCCTTAAAGCAGCAGTGCTAACTGGGATTTGTATTCCTATGTATAATATACAGCACAATGTACCATCAGCTATAGAAGAATACAAATCCCAGCAATACATTATAGAGCACCATGTGTGGGAAGTGCAGGCTTACCTGAGCAGTCTTCCAGCAACTTGCTTCTGAGATTGGACCTGTCTATCAGCGGCTGTCATCACCCCACACCTGCTCCTCCTTACTACATCTCCCCCGCGTCCCTGTGCCGATCGTGGATGTGGGCGGTCGGTGAATGTGAGGGAGTGAGGAGATGCGGCGTGTGGAGCGTGGATGCGGGCGGGTCTGGCAGCGGCGAACGTGAGATTGGGAGGAGGTGCGGCGCGCAGCGTGTGTGGAGCCATGAACAGGGCCAACCAATCAGAAGCCGATTAATCGATGATTGAAAAAGTTGACAACTTTTTCAATAATCGATTATAATCGATTATGTCGATTAATTGTTGCAGCCCTAGTGCTACCTCAGTGCTACCCCAGAACACATTGGGGGACATTTATCTATTCTCTCTCACAGCAAGGCAATGTTAAACAGGAACAGTGAGACAGATTGTGTTACACATTTACCACAAATTTAGTCATAAATTCCTCCCTCAGCTGATCTAAAGTAGTAGTGGAACAGAAGAAAACTCTATTTGGGCCACGTGTTATAGCACAGATCAAGGCAAAAAAATAAATTTCATGCATCTCTGCAATACATGCACATTTCCCCGTTTCTGTCCCTTTAAACATGCTGCAAGTACAGAAAAATAACTGTTGATGTGCCAGAAATATGATATCTGCTGCATTCGAAACTCTTTGACATGACAACACAGTGTTTTACAAGAGGCATAGAGGGGTATTTTCTAAAGCTGGAGCAGACAAAATCTGGAGCTGCTGTGCATATTAACTAATCAGATTCTATCCTCAGATTGTTCGGTTAAGCTTTGAAAATAAAAGCTAGAAGCTGATTGGTTGTCATGCACTGTTCCAGATTCTGTCTAGTCTTAGTAAATTCCCACAGTTTATTTTCGGCTCTAAATTCTAATGCATGTGGTGTCAGCCCTGCCTTCTTAATTTCTGATATATTGCAGGGAATACAGACCTCTTTTCATCTTTCATCTTCAGTAATAAATCTTTTGCAGACCTTTGCAAATTTTTCACAGATGGCTGCCCAATATTCCAGGGATAAGCAATGCAAATACACTGTAACCCTGTGAAAACAGGGAAAACAGTACAATGCAGGTAATGGTTTCTGTATTATTAGGACATGCACTTAATAAAAGTCTTTATTATTGATTGCCAGGGAAACATTCCTTTCATGCACTGCTCGCTGAAATGTAATCAGTGGCTAGGCTGTAGACATTCAAGTATTTGCACAATTATAACAAGCAGGAAATGAGCTTTAAAACAAGGCATCATTAAACTCTGTAGTTGCATGTACTGTGAAGCAATTCATCCTCAAAGTTTACAGCAGAAGCACTGAGATTGTCCAGGCTCTTCCCTCAGCAGCTCAGCTTCCTCTGCTTCCCCATCCCAGAGTTCCTCCCATGATAGAAAACTTTATAGAGATGACTATTTATTGGTGGCTCTAAAGGTTCACTTCTTCCCTCAAATCTGCTAGGTGCATCTTGTACATCAGCATTTCAGCAAGGAGTTTGAGCCGCACCTTCGTGGAAAGTACAGAACTATCCCCATAAGTGGAGATACAGAGCAGAAGGGCTGCTTTGCAAACTTTGTAAAAAAAACCGATGTCATCATCTGCACTGCTCAAATCCTGTACAATGCTCTCCAGAACCCGAGTGAGGAAAAGCATGTGGAAATAACAGGTAAGAATATCTCTGAAATGAATATAAACCATGGGAACCAGCACACAATATGGCAATATATGTTACTTTAAGTAGAGCTATGAGCAAAATCAAGAAAATATATGATGCAGTCTTTTATTAACACAGTAGTTTTTGTATTTTTAAATTCCCCCCATAATTTACTTTAATTACCTAATAATCCTGCCCGTAGATCTGTTGATTTATCCTTTTCTTTAGCAGGGAGGGCCAAGAGGGAGGACCACCCACCCATGTTATATGGTTTGCCCTAACCACTAACTGTCACTTTTGCTGGCCAGCTTGGTCTGCATTTATATATGGAGAAAATATAAATAAAGGCATGTGAAATATAAAATCAATGAATATACAGAATACTATCATAGGCAAGGGTCCAAATTTCAAGTCCTGAGCTACTAACCAGGCCTTAAGAGTTACTTGCCACCAGTTGCCCCACCTAACCCCTACCCTCCCCCTGCCTCAACTCCACCAGGTCAGTGGTGTGACGCAGAGTACAGAGGCCAGCGGTGTGACGCACAGTACAGAGATCAGTAACAACACAGAGTGCAGAGATCAGTGGTGTAAGGCAGAAAGAACAGCGACTTACAATGCACAGTTGATCTGATTCAGGTGTTCTCTTCCTCTCCTGCTGGTGTTGGTGGTGGGGGGGATGCATTGATGTTCCCTCCGTGTACTGAGGTGAAGCCTCCAGCAGCCACGTTGAGCCTCCCTTCAGGTACCGCGCTGCAGAAATGTAGAGAGTACAGGAGTCAGCGGTATGACGCACAGTACAGAGAGCAGTAACAACGCAGAGTGCAGAGGTCAGTTGTTTGATGCACAGTACAGAGGCTAGCGGTGTGATGCACAGTACAGAGGTCAGCGGTATGGCGCACAGTACAGAGGTCAGTGGTGTAATGCAGGGTACAGAGGCCAGCTGTGTGACGCACAGTACAGAAGTCAGCGTTGTGACACAGAGTACAGAGGACAGTGGTGTGATGCACATTACAGAGGTTAGTAATCTAATGCACAGTACAGAGGTCAGCAGTATGACGCACAGTACAGAGGTCAGTAATGTACACACAGTGCAGAGGTCAGCGGTGTGATGCACAGTACAGAGGTTAGTAATTAACGCACAGTACAGAAGTCAGCAGTATGACGCACAGTACAGAGGTCAGTAATGTAACACAGTGCAGAGGCCAGCAGTGTGATGCAGAGTACAGAGGTCAGTAATGCACAGTACAGAGGACAGCGGTATGATGCACAGTACATGCATAGTGCATAGGTCAGTGGTATAATACAGAACAAACAGGGACTTACAGTGCACAGTTCATCTGATTCATGTGTCCTCTTCCTCTCTTGGTGGTGGGGGGGTGTAGCGATATTGTCTCCATGTTCCGAGGTGAAGCCTGCATAGGCCTTGTTGAGCCTCCCTTCAGGTCCCTCGCTGCAGAAATGTCCAGCTGGCCAATAGTAGCTGTGCAGTCTTCCTCCCACCCTATGGCAGCTGAGGTAGGCAGAGGAAGTTGCAGGTGGCCAGAGGAGCCGGAGTGAAGGGCAGACAGCCGAACTGATTCTTCTCCTCCTCCTTGGCTGCTCTGTTGCTGCAGTGGCCGGGGAGGAGAAGAGAAGGAAAGTGAAGGGAGAACTGAACGAGCAATCACCGCTGTGGAAGCCTGCCGCACCCCCACCCCCAATGAATTTCCACTCACCCCCACGCAATTTTCAATCGCCGATTGCGAGGGGGCGAGTGGAAATTTTGAGCCCTGATTATAGGTATTAATCATACTTAGCAGAATACGTTTTTAGTGAAAGCTTCAGAAATGTCATAAAAAAGATACTCCGCTCTTGTTTAGAAAAAATAAATCTGCTCCAAATTAGTTACAAGCGTAGACAACGTTCTCAGGTCCATTCCACCAAAACAAAGAACCCACAATTTATTGATTTCTGATTCAACAGAATATTTTCAAATAAAACAAATAAAAATGTTATGGCCAAAAATGATGGGACCCTTAACCTAATATTTTATTGCACAACAAGTCATTTTTGGAGATCTAAATAAGACTTCTGCACCTACCAACAGGTAGTTTGGCCCACTCTAGCTTTGTCAGGTTTGAAGGGTGACTTCTTCAGACTGCAAAGCCTAGCTCTTTCAATAGATATATTCAATTGGATTCAGATTAGGGCTCATAGAAGGCCACTTAAGAATAGTCCGACGTTCTGCTCTTATTTTGTTTTGTTTTTAGCTGTATGTTTTGGGTCTTTATCCTATTGAAGGACTCATGACCTGACACTGGGTGGTACGCTTTGCTGTAGAACTCCTTTGATAGTCTTGAGAGTTAATTGTGTCCTGCATAGATTTAAAACAGCAAAAAGTTTCCCAGCACACTCGCCAGCCAGCATGCAAAAAAGAACCTGTCCAACCACTAAGGTCAAAAGCTTTAGATACACGTCTTCTGCAGAAAATGTGAAAGCCGCACAGCCACGTCAAGGCACCTCCATATAGTGCGGTCCTAACTCTAAACTATGAGAGTCTCCATCTTGGAGCACATGGGGGCAGAAGATTAAAATGGGTGCAGGTTGCATGCTGGTTGGCGAGTGTGCTGGGAAACTTTTTGCTGTTTTACTATTTGAAGCCCTTCCACGTGCACGTTGCTGTAAAGCTGGTAACTAATTAAGGCACCCTGTGTCAGATGCAGAACGCATCCCAAAGTCTTGTCAATATTTCACAGTAGGTTCTCTTCTTTGAAAACTTAATTTTTTCCGCAATAGAGCTGATGTGATTGGCAAAAAAATAGTTTTGTCTCAGCTGTCCAAAGGACATTTTCCTGGAAGCATTGTAAATTGTCAATATGCATTTTAGCTAATTACAGTCCCACTTTTTTTTTTTTTCCTTCCAACAGTGGAGTCCTCCTGGGTCATTTTCCTTTGAGCTCACTGTCATTCAAAAATAACTGATAGCACAATCAGAAACTGATGTACCTTGACCTTGGAGTTCAGCTTATATCTCTTTGGAAGTTTTTCTTGGCTCTACCATTGCTCACTCTCATTCTGTTCTATCTGGAGTTGATTTTCCGCTTGCTGCCATGTCCAGGGAGGTTGGCTACACTCCCATGCAGCTTAAACGTCTTAATAATATTTGCAGCTGTAGTCACAGGAACATTGAGCTACTTAGGCATGGTCTTATAGCCTTTAACAATTACCTGCTGATCTATCATTTTCTTTCTGATCTCCGACAACTCTCCTTTGCTTTCTCTGGTCCATGTTTAGTGTGGTGCACATCATTTTTCTTGACCTATTCTGGTGTTTAATGTGAACAGTAAATCTAAGGCCATACAGTTTTACAAAAAGTTTTGCTACTGGAGATTATTAGCGTTAGCAACAGATTCCAACTCTGCATCGCTGAGTCACAGAGAGATCTTTGTGATCTCTCCACCAGCTCAGTGACTAAAAACATGGCACCCGCAGTTGCGGTTTTGGTGTTGGCCTCGGGTAGGGTTACCACCTTTTCTTCAAGCAAAACATTAACACTCTAGTGCAATTTTCTTTGGAGAATATACAGGAGAGAGAGAGACAGGGGGGAGAGTAAGGATAGACAGCCAGGTGGATGAGCGAGGGTAGACAGCCAGGAGAGAGAGCGAGGAGAGACCATCCAGGAGGGAGGGTGAGGAGAGACAGAAAGGAGAGAGAACATGGAGAGACAGCCAGGAGATTGTGCCCTTCAGGACTTAAATTCACTTGTGTTTCAGACACCTCCTTGCTCCAGTGTCCCTCTGTGTCCCGTGCTTCCTCCATACACTCAAGCTGGAAAACCAGGACCCCATGGTTGCCCCTGTCCTGTCCGCTGACATTCAGGCCAGCTGAAACCCAGACACAGCACATAAAGGACACAAAGCCCGGACTGTCCGGGTGAATCCCGGACGGGTGGCAACACTACACTCGGGATGACACCCTGTGCAATACATCGATTTCAGAGTGATGAATAAGGTGATGGCCAACGAGTAGGTAAATCTCTCAGTAGCAAAGAGATTTAATTACGTATGTTCTCTGGGCTAACTTAAGTTCCTATCCTATATCTGTAGGATTTTTTTGCATTGTGCTGCTGTCATATGAATGGCTTATTAGTAACTTACAATAATAAGCAGATGTAACAGTTTACCCAGTAAGTGTATGTTATGTCAAATTTTCAGCGAGAGTGGAGTTTTCTGTTAAAAACCCCCCCATTTCAGATCAAATGAGACAGCATGGATTAAAGGACACTTACAGGGCTATTCACAAAAGGGTGAAGAGTTTGGGGAAAGCAGAAGAAGTGAACAATCTAGGACTACATAGCTGATTTGGAAAAAGTCTCCAATTCACCTCACTTTCCAGTTCAGCTATTTTGGCCTAGATTGTTCACTTCTCCTGTTTTCTCCAAACTCTTCACCCTTTTGTGAATAACCCTGTTATAGTCACAATTGGCTTAAGATGTACCAGTGCTTCTTAAGGAAATTATTTGGTAGAGATATTTACGCAGAGTGAGAATGAGATATAAATAAGTTTACCTTCTAATGGTTGCACATTCATGAATGAAATAGCAAAAAATATAACAGCCAAGCATGTTGAATGAGAAAACCATATCCCATGTCTAAATAAATGCTATATTGACAACAAGTGAAAAACAGGTCGGGTAATAAACTGTTTCCTCCATGATAAGGAGATACACTATTACTGTAGTTTTGATTACTGCTTTTAATGAGCAATGAATGCTATGGTATCACCTGTATGATTAGGCGCTTCTTAATTAAAATTATTATTGTTTCCTGCAGATTTTACTCTGTTAATAATAGATGAGTGCCACCACACCCAGAAAGATGCAATTTATAACAAGGTGATGCAAATCTATCTTGAGAAAAAGCTCAAACATGAAAGGAATCTTCCACAAATTCTGGGACTCACTGCATCCCCTGGGACCGGTGGAGCTAGCAGCTTCGAGGATGCTGAGGATCACATTTTACAGGTGAGATTAAGACAAAAAAACCTCAGCGCACTAACCAGTTTTATATACAAAAATTCGATATCGGCTCTACAAGTTTAAACAGAGTCCCGGCGGCAAAAGTCGCCGGGAGTCTGTTTAAACAGCCCCGATGCTGGCGACGTACACTGTACGTCGTCAGTCACGAAGGGGTTAAAGGGTATATAGACCCTAACAGTTAACTACTAACATTTGGTCTGTTAAATATAGCACTGAAAGTGTTTTGTTTTATCTGCAAAATAAGTGCAAAAATACCTATTGACCCTTCCAGAAATCTTGTCAGCTGATAGATAACTTCCTGTGATCTCTGCTTGTTCTGCATTCATAAGTTACATTGTTCCCAGCTGTTGATGAAGACTACAGAAACCCCCCTCAACCTCTATTTTATGGAGAAGAGCAGAGGGGGAGGTTATTGTAATCCTGTCCTAGGGTGACAATGCTGCTTTTCTATATATACAGTAGGGTGAGTGAGCATTGCCACCACAGGAAGTGTGTTACCGGCAGGATCAACAACTCACCTCCCCTCCCGCCTCCTGTTACTATGGACGCGGCCGGGAGGGGAGGTGAGTCACAGGACCCGCCCCCTCACTGTGAAGCCCGTCGGCAGTGCGGGGCCCTGGTGTTCGAACACCGGGACCCTGCACTGCCCCATATTGCAGGACCGGACCGCACTGAGACAGTTGGGGACCACTGTGCTAAACCACTTGCTGTCCTCAAAGCTGAGTCTGTGACCGTTTAGAAACCAGGACTGTTCTGAGGGATGTGTTTTTTCGAGTCACAATATTTCATTGGGGCTACATTAGTTTTCTTAGTGTATCTGTTACTTTTATATTTTTCAGATTTGTGCTAATCTGGACACATGGAAGATAATGTCAGCTAAGGTCAACATTGAAGATCTAGAAGCTAAAGCCAAGCAACCCAACAAACAATATGACTTGGTTCCAGAAAGGGATAAGGTAATTATCTTTTGCATTCATTATAACCTGCAGTATCTTATTAAATTATAGTGACTTTACATAAGCCATTGATTTGGAGGATTATACTATCTTTGGTCAATGGTCTGTGCTGTTGCAGAAACCGAGAATCCGTGCTTCATCAAAAACGTACATCATACAAAATCCTGTTGTAAAATGACTGCATCTGCTAGTGCGTGTAGACAGAACAGAACTACTCTAATGCCCCTGGCTTAATATGAATGTATGGGTAGGGCATGAATGAGATTTGGGTTCACCTGGTGATGAATTTATGCAAATTTCCAGGATTTCATTCACAAGTGGATTTTGGGCAAATTTGCTGTGGGAGAAATTTGTCACGATGCCCTTATAATGTCCTGTGCACCCTTTAACTCTTACCAGCGAATTCACAAATATTAAATAATAGGAAGGGGGGAGTTGATAACCCAACCCACTGGCCAATTGTAGCAGAAAATATATCTGTACAGGCTTTTCAGACAGATAGTCTGATTAGGTTCACCTGTCAGTTTTTTAGGCGGGTCTGATTAGAAGCCCCAAGTTAGTCTATTGGCAGCCAGAGCTAAACGAATCCAATTACCCTCTGACTCCATCTAGGTCAGGAAAACAAAACTGAACTAACTGAGTTTTGTTATAATGGACATGATCGTGACTGATCAGGAAAAAAAAATCTGATGTATACGAATACATGTCCGATTACATCCAACTCCCAAAATACCTAAAATGGGTCCAGTAAGTTCAGCTTTTTCCTCCATCTTACAAAGCTGGACAGACACGGATGTCACAATAGTGACATCTGTTTTGTACTGCTCCACTCAGTAGGGGGATCCATGCACAGATCTCCTACTGATCAGAACTGACAGTGTCCATGTGAAAGGCTGAAGTTCTAATTGTTTCTAAAAACAGCTGCCTGTGGTATGTGTCTCCACATTTGGGCCTGTTCTCGCTGCTATCAATTTGGGCTGCTGTCCATCACCCACCCCAAGATTAAAATAAAGAAGTTCTTTGGAAATCTATTTGCTTGATATTTATAGTTGGTGATGGGATATGCTTTATATGGCTTGTCTCCCAATACTATCTCTTTTATTTGAGTTGCACTCTTAAGGTGGCCATACATTGTACATTGATTTTCGTTCACAATTTTTGGTTTCTGGCAAGAACCCTCGTTCAATTATACCTAGACTTCCCCATCAAGCATAGTCAAATGTGGATTTAGAAAATCCTTTGTTAGCCTTACAAACCAACCAATTTGTTGACGAACTACAGAAATAATTTCATTTTGCGCATGTGCTGTGTTCTTGCGGAAATTTTTGATGAATGAAAACCCCACTGATTCATCGATTTTCGCTTGGTCAGAGAAAAATTTTCCAACCTACCTGATCGAAAAATTTCGATCACAATATCAAAAACTAAAATTGGTGATGTACCATCACTTGATTGATTTTAATTCAAAAGACCATTTGTGTACGATTTCCGAATGAAAATCGTACAATGTATGGCCACCTTAAAGCATCACAAAACCATCAGCTTGTTTCTCCTTATACACATCTACACAATGAACACTCTCCAAGGCCACATTTTTTTTATGTTTGAAAATAAAGTCTTACTATTTTAACTCCTCTAGAAAGTCTGCTGTGCTCGCTCCCATTGCTCTTCTCTCCAAGCACACTTCCTGTCACTTAGTGAGAGCCGTGCACCTTGATTCTGGTCACGTGCACATCTTTCCTGGCCTACAACTCCTATGAGGCAGAGAGGAATCATCTCTCACTGCACACAGCTGCCTCCTCTCCCCTCCTTCTTACTATGCAAGCTGTGGCAGTTTCACTGCTTGTAATCTCCTTTGCAGTCCTCTGAACTACGTACAACAGCTTTACAACAAATCTGCAACAAACATCAAGTTTACAACAATCTACACAGAAAAACAACTTTATTTCAAATGTAGGAGCCGTATCCTCTGTGACTGCATGAGCAGATTCAGCATGTGAGCTGACACTCGGAAGAGAGTATGAGGCTGGTGAGAGCTCACATGCTGAACCTCCTCACAAGCACCTCACCCCACACTCTCTCCTTGGTAAGCCAGGAGGAGAGAAATCAAAAATCATATATTACATATATAAGCTGAAGAAATCCCAGTTCCTTGCAGAGTCTAGAGTGGAGGATTTGTGGGTGGAGACTGAGAAGACACGCCCTCAGCATGTTGTAGTCCTTCACATGAATGAGCAGAGTCGGTGGCTACTTTTCAGCTCCCATAGGGACCATGGAGAAGAAAAGTAGCTACCCTCTTGCAGAAAAAAATTAAACGGATTTTGGAGCATTTCGAGCTGAACAATGACAAAAAAAGTACACAATCATTGATTATTTAAATAACAGAAGTTTTTATTATTATTTAATTTATGAGTTTAGTGTCGCTTTAATTGTACAAAGAGAGCAAGAGGCAGCACAAGTAATATAATTTCTATCTTTACTGTTTCCAAGAGATTAAAGTAATTTATGTGTTCCTATTCACAGAGCGTACCTAAAAATGATTTTAAAAAATATTTCTTACCTTTTAGTTGCGTCAGTAGCAGACCTTAGGAGCTTCTCTGTACAATTTTCAAGTAACTCGGAACTCAGGTGGTCCTCATATAAAGGATAGGGTCACTGAGAACATGAGAAAACTGAGGGCTTGCAAAAAATATATAAATAGGTGCTATCCCAATTTGGCTGCCAATCTGGAAATACACTTGCAAATGAGAGGCAACAATGAGAGTCAGATACATCATACATTCTATATTGTGCTGTATTCATTTGAAGGTAGAGATCCTACCATCACATTCTCAAACAATTTATCCCCACACAGCTACCTCCTCATGTATCATTTCCCCCTCCTCTTTCAGATTGTAAGCCCTCAGGGGCAAGGCCCTCCTTACCATCCTGTCTTGAATTGTATTGTAATTGTAATGTCTTCCTTACATTGTAAAGCGCTGCGCAAACTGTTGGCGCTATATAAATACTATGTAATAATAATAATAATAGTGATCCTCGTGTTGCCTCGTGTTGCTGTTATTCCTAGTTGTAATCTCATGGTAGAGAACACGTAAGGCTGTATAGCTATCTTATTGGAATGTGTCCATTCTAACTGGTTCGGTAATATGAACTTACAAGTTTAGTAATGTTGCATAATAATACATTATCCTCTGGTCTAGGATCCCTTTGGGGACAAGCTGAAGTCACTAATGGCAACCATAAATGAATATCTTGGTGAAAATGGCTGTACCAGTTCTGACTTTGGAACTCAGATGTATGAGCAGAAAGTGGTTGAAATGGAGAAAGAAGGTAAGTGTTAAAACTGAACTCCAGGCAAAAAGTGAATCTAGTATATGTTGTTGACATACTGCATATGGGAATAGTCTTACCTGTCAAAGGATTTTACATTTGTTTAGCTATTCATGTGATTTAGAACCCTGACAGCATCACCATGTTAGTTACCTACCATTTCTCCAAAGCAGTTAAATAAAACAGCTTGGTAATTAACCCACTCCAAGCTTGTGGTTGGACAATGAAGAAGCAATACACTGTTCAGGTTATACCTGCTTTCCCCTTTTGATAGCATAAAAAAAGTAGGAGAGCGACACAATGCATTAGAGTAAAGTCTAATTGTCTCAGAATACTGACCCTACTTCTCTCAGTCTGTGGCTGTTCAGTAGATTACAGTCAAAAATATACAACCCCAATTCCAGAAAAGTTGGGACGCTGTGTAAAATCTACATAAAAACAGAATGCAATGATTTGCAAATCTCATAAACCCTGAGAGGCATTGCTGAGGGAGAGATACTGTGGTGGTTTACTTGCCATACACGTTTGATTTTGGATTCTATCTGGAATTTATTACAATAAAGCTGAATTTTCATGGATACTTCTTTTCGTGCAACAAGAATTGTTAAAGGAGTTAGAGCACACTGTAGCCTGTGCACGGTGTGTACATTGATCGACAGTCCGAGGTGGAATTGGAGTGGTGAGTCTTGGTGTTTCTCATAAACCCACATTTTATTCACAATAGAAAATAGAAAACATGTACCATTTTAAGAAAAAAAGGTCATTTTGAAATTGATGGCAGCAACACGTCTCAAAAAAGTTGAGACAGGCATTGTGTACCACGGTGTAGTATCCCCTCTTCTTTTAACAACACTCTGTAAATGTCTGGGAACTGAGGGGACCAGTTGCTGGAGTTTTGGGAGAGAAATGTTGCCCCATTCTTGCCTGATATAGGATTCTAACTGCTCAACAGTCCTGGGTCTTTGTTGTATTTTTAGTTTCAAGATGCGCCAAATATTTTCAATTGGTAAAAGGTCTGGACTGCAGGCAGGCCAGTTACGCATCCGGACTCTTCTACTATGAAGCCATGCTGTTGACATAGATGCAGTATGCGGTTTAGCATTGTCCTGCTGAAATATAAAAGGACATCATCTGGATGGGAGAATATGCTGCTCCAAAACCTGGATATATCTTTCAGCGTTGGTGATGCCTTTCCAGATGTGCAAGCTATCCATTCCATATGCACTAATGCACCCCCATACTATCAGAGATTCAGGATTTTAAACTGAGTGCTGATAACAAGCCAGAAGGTCCCTCTCCTCTTTAGTCTGGAGGACACGGCGTCCATGGTTGCCAAAAAGAATGTCAAATTTCAATTCGTCTGACCACAGAACAGTTTTCCACTTTGCAACAGACAATTTTAAATGAGCTTTGGCCCAGAGAAGATGGCGGGTTTCTGGATCATATTCAGGCATGGCTTCTTCTTTACATGATGGAGATTTAACTTGCATTTTCGGATGGCATGGCTTCTCAGAAGCTTTTACAGATATTATGTACTGTAGATTATATACTTAAAGTCTTTGGAATGTTACATTGAGGAATATTATTCTGAATATTATTCTGAAATTGTTTGACAATTTTTAGATGCAGCTTTTCTCTGCCCATCTTTACTTCTGAGACACTCTGACTCTCTAGGATGCTCTTTTTATACCCAATCATGTTAGTTACTTGTTGCCAATTAACATAATTAAATCTTCCAGCTCTTCCTTGTTAGTACAACTTACGTTGCCAGCTTTTTGTTGCCTTGTCCCAAATCAGGTACTTGCGGTGGTTATATTTAAAACATATAATCATTTTACTCACCAAAATCCTGACCCTTCGCCTCAGATCCCCTCTTTTGGATCTGATATCTAAGGATCAAGTGGGTTTTATGTTGGGACGTCAGGCGGGAGACAGTGTCCGTAGAATATCCCATCTACTACACATTTCTTATCAGAGGCATGTTCCAACCATGTTACTAGCTTTGGATATAAGTAAAGCATTTTACTCCGTTGGGTGGCAATATTTGAATTATACACTCACAAGATTGGGGCTTTGGCCAATACTTTATGAAATGGATAGGGGCGCTGTACTCTGAATCGACTGCCTACATCCAGTATCAGGGCTTTCACTCACGCACATTTGAGATTACTAGGAGGGACGAGACAAGGCTGCCCCCTCTCCCCCCTTCCCTTCGCCCTAGCCATAGAGCCACTTGCTCTGGCGATACGTCAACACACTGACATTAGAGGTCTGGAACTCGCAGGTTATCACCACAAAATTAGTTTATTTGCTGACGACGCGCTACTGATCCTTACCGAACCCCTGATATCTCTCCCAAATCTCCAGCCACTATTAAAACTATTCGGTATGTCAACATGGACAAATCCAAAGCACTTGATGTCTCCCTCCCCCCTGCTATGCGCTCCTCCCTACAACATTCGTTCCCGTATTAGTGGGTGCACTCCGAATTGCCCTACCTAGGGATTTATCTCACCCCTTCCTACGCCCAAATGTATCAGGCCAACTATCCTAAACCATTTTCACACATGGACGCTCTACTGTCCTCATGGGAGAAACATCCCCTCTCGTGGCTTGGCAGAGTCGCGGCGGTCCAGATGACCTTACTTCCTAAATTCCTGTACCACTCGAGAGTCCTCCCCGTCCCTACCTTTCGCCTTAGACAATTCCAACGGCGCATACTTCGCTTCATATGGAAAGAATCATTCCCAAGGGTCTCCCAACTGATTCTCTATCGAAGCAAGAGGAGGGGGGGTCTGGGACTTCCCTTTTTTCACAAATACTACCAGGCTGCCCAATTGGCCCCATTGGTGTGTTGGTTTCAGAAGAGCGAAATACCACTATGGGTTTCGCTAGAAGCCTACGCATGTTCCTCAATATCTCTCCTTAACCTTCCCTGGATACCCCCCAAAATAGGTAGATCTCTGAATAACCCAATTCTCAAGCACACCTTAAAAATATGGGAGGAGCTGCGCAGCCCTCTAGGTTGGGTGTCCCCTCATATGCCTCTGATGTCCATTCATGGTATCCCACTGTTCAGGCCGGGCTACTCTGACCCTGCTGCCTTCAAACACTGGCGAGTCAACTCCTTGAGTTTAATTAAGGACTTCTGCTCAGAGACTGGAATCACTCCATTTCCGATACTCCAAGCCAAACACCAATAACCCCAAGACATATCTTTCAATTTTTGCAAATGAAACACTTTTTACAGACCCAATTAGACATATCCCTCCCCTTACCCAATTTGAGAGGTTTCTACTCAACGATACCACCACCACAGGGCCTATATCAGTCTTGTATATAATGAAACTTGACCACCTACAGACTTCTCTCCCTTCTTACACCACCAAATGGGAACGAGACTTGGACTGTTCTATCTCTGCTGACACATGGTCCCAAATATGGGTGACGACCTCTCGAAGATCAGCTAACGTCCAGGCGATAGAGGCCAATTACAAACTGCTGTTTAGGTGGTATCTGGTGCCCCTCAGGATCTCCAAAGCAATTCCATCTTACTCACCAAATTGCTTCAGGGGTTGCCGGGTGGAGGGGTCAGTTCATCATATTTGGTGGGCTTGCCCTAAGGTAAAGAGATTTTGGCATAGGGTGTACCAACTCCTTTACACAGTCACGGGCAAAACATTCCGCAAAGACCCTTTGGAGGCCCTATTACACAAAAAACCTACGGTGTGTACTGCTCGGCAACATCGACTGGTTACATTCATACTCACAGAGGCCAAAAGGGTCATTGCGAAGGCTTGGACGTCCCCTGATCTACCTTTTGCTGAAGTCAAACGCAGAGTATCGAGAGTGATGTTTTTTGAGAAACTCACCGCCCTACAAAGGGATACTGTGGGGTCATTCCAGAAACTGTGGGAGCCATGGATTGAGTCATACCTCCCTCCCTCCTTTGCTATGGAGTCCTTGATCCTATAACCGCTCACTATCGGAAGCTTTAAACAAACAATTTGCCTGCCATCCCACCTTCGATGTTCCTCTCCCCTCTCTTGGTTCCCCCCCTTCCCCCCCTTCCCCCATGATCCTTCCTTCCCTGATTGAACACCAGACGATTCACGCTTTGTTTCTGTACCTTTGACATACTGTTCTCACTAGAATGTTCCTAGTATTTATGCTGATTACCAGTTACTATTTTATTTTATATCAACCACTCTGATCGACTGTTTGTTACTATTGCGAGATAATTTGATACTGTATTCACTGTTTGATATACCGTTGAACTTGACACTGAATGTAACAGTGAAATTACTGTTTCAACCAAAACAAATAAAAACCATTTTGAACGGAAAAAAAACCAATCATTTTGTAATGAATGCATTATTGTTTTCTGCGCGGAGTTCATCCTCAAAAATCCTGATGAAGGGCTCATTCACAACATTAGTGGTGACTGGGGTTTTTCAGCAACTGATCAATGACAGCCACTGCTAGGGCATTTAAAAAAAACAAATGTTTTCTATGTGCCTTGTTCACACCACAACAAGGGAGGCATGCTGCATTTTTCTGCAGCGTGCTGCACTGCAGGTGTCCACAGCACAGTGCACTCTGCTGCTGCGTAGAGGCCTAAATAGAGTGTTCACTTTGTACACTTCAAATAAAGAAAAAAAGGAGTACATAAGAGTAAATGCTAGTGTGACTAGTGTGAACAAGCCCTTACCGTCAAAAGGTAAATCAGTGTGCACAGTCTTCTTGAGGCAAAAAAATTCCCAGAGTGTCTCTTCAGTTAAAAACTAAGACATTTGAGGTTTGTAAATCTGCAAAAATTAAATCCACAGTTTAACGAAGTTCATTGTGAATAGGAGCAATAATACTTATATAATAAATATTTATTAATATGAAATTAATATTAATATGAAATGAAAATATATATATATATATTTCATTAATTTTTTTACCTTTTAAAATTGTTTCTCATGCTGAAAAATGCTAATGAGCTACAGATTAAATGAAACATTAACTCTCTGCACTGCTGCTCTTCTCTGGCAACTTTTATCCACAGCACAGATCCCTAAAGGAGTACTGACTATGTTTTCCTGCTACATGTCCTTGATTTAGTCAAACTTTAAGTTAAATTCAATTACACTGTTGTCTCAATTGACATTGCCAGGTATCACAGAGAGAGGTTGCTGGTGGAACCCCTCAAATTGTTGCTATGGGGCCCCATGAAATGTAGTTATGTCCCTGATCACAGGTGTAAAGGGAGGGCGAGAACTTGTAAACAAAAACGCTAACTGTGGACTATACTGTAAAACTAAAGAGATTAATTCCTTGTATAGAAACATTTTATTGAGTCTCTGGTTTTTAAAAAGCCTTAGTATTTATGAGCCTTCTGGTGTTCTTGTATTTTAGGAGCAGTGGAGGCGAACAGAATGAAAAGGACATGTGCTTTGCACCTTCGTAAATACAATGATGCCCTCTTCATAAATGACACAGTCAGAATGCAGGATGCCTATGAATCTCTGGAAAGGTTCTTCATTGAAGAAAGGTTCATCAGGAAATCGGATGACCCAACAGATGTCTTTCTCTGTCGGTTATTCAGTGGTAAAGAGCAGCAATGTATTTGTTTATAAATGTATATTATGTGTAATAGGCGTGAGTATTTTTAAGCATCAGTCCACTAAAACTGGTATCATTTTTGGACAGACTCCAGCAAGTTTTCTTACCTGACAGCTACTCTCACAGTCCCTCTTCCCTGTACACCATTAGGTATGAAGTTTAAGCTCAAGGGAAAACTAGAGACTGGGATGTCTTGTGTTCCAGAAGGTTTGGGCACAGGGTGCCTTGTAATCAAGGCCATCCCTACAACAAGGCAGCCTGAGGCAGTTGCCTTAGGCATGCTCTTATTGGGGGACAGTGTGGGTAGCTCTTAGCGCTCTGACTGGCATCCCGCCCAGCTCAATGACATTGCCAATTGCTTAAAGCTGACAGGACGGTTCGGCTTTCGCCGAATACCCCCCCTTAGAGGCCGCCGTGCTTCTAATAATACCAACCAAAGGAAGTATGCTTCAGCCTACAAAACCCATCAGTCTACAATAAAGGGAGTGTATAATAGTGTATAATAGCTAGTAGCACTTAGTCATTTTAAATGGACCTGTTCTGTAATGTTGAAGACATTTCACCACTTCTAATGAAGTACCTTTCTCCATTATAATGAGTGTCAGGAACATACTCCAATGTTAATAGTCCCACAGGTAATTTAGTTCCCTTAATCTATTCACCAAGGAATGGGTCGTGAGAGAAGGTGTGAAAGTGCCATGAAGTCAGGGAGAGGTGTTACTCCTTCCCATTAAAAGTTGTTAATGGTTGTCAAATTAGCATGGTAAAAATGTTAAAACAGTAATGTCTATGGGTGATAGGTGGTGTCGAAGACCCTCAATGCTGTTAAGGGATAGTATTACAGTATGACATAGATTGCTTCTTGCATATCTCTTGTAAAAAAAATGTAGCTTTTCCTTAAGGTGTATTTCCACTTTTGCAGTCAAATTTTACAAACCCCTCACTATATGTTTATGTGTTCCTATTCACACATCCAGATCTAGAAAACATTTTAAAGAAATTCTTACCCTTCTAGCTGTAAGGGTACAGCTAGAAGGGTAAGAATTTTCATTGGACACTATAGGCAGCTGTGGTGGTTAGAATAGATGGTGCAGATAAAGGGACAGACTGAGGGACAGTTTTTAATAAAAGTGTATTAAAACCTTTTTTAAGAGTGCACTGAACAATAGATTTACAATTATCCTCTGCTAATATGAATGGGTTAAATGATCCGTAGTACATGATATGTAGCCCTGTACCCCCTTTTCCACTTACAGAGCTAGGTTATTTTTCTTTTAAATAAATATTAATGTATTTTAATGGTATCTATCTACCAGTAGCTGCCTCATTTCCCACCCTCGGCTTATATTCGGGTCAATACTTTTTCCCAGTTTTTTTGGCTAAAATTAGGTACCTCGGCTTATATTCGGGACGGCTTATACTCGAGTATAGCTGGCTCTGCCTCTCTAGAGCTAGACCCAGTCGTTCCTGCGTCCTCAACTGTCTGTCCCACCAGTAAGCGCCAACTGACTCTGCAGAGAGAAGAGATTGAGGGGTGCGTGAAGAGCTGCCATGTGATCACTCAGCTCTTAATCTTAGAGCCGATGTGTGACAGCCAGTGCCGGATTAACATAGGGGCTACTGGAGTGCCACTGAAAATAGGCCTGACCGACCCAGATCGCCTCAGTATACCCAATGGCAATCTGGCCCAGCCGGGCTGAACACAATCTTGCAGAGGTTTCAGCGGCTCTCTAATCAGGCATATTAGGCGGCCACTCCAAACAGCGAGCGAGGAGCGAGCAGCCGCCTATCTAAAGAGCTGCCTCTGCTGCTTCCAGTCCATCCGACAACGCCCATGATGCTCTTAAAGGACAACTATGGTGTTAAGGCTTTTCCCCATAGTTCTCCTTAGGGTAACGGCAGGACACAAACCGGTATGTGTTCGCTCACCTCCTGATCTACTGAGCCGACCTGTGAAAGTCTCATTGTCACAGGTCGGCTAGAACTATGAGGTGAGTGAAAAGCACTCACCTCATAGTTCTCCTTTAATCCGGCCTTTGTGACAACTGCAGTGTCCCACACTGGCTCTAAGGCTAGGTTCACACCAGATGCAGTGCGTTCTGGCCGGAACGCACTGCATCACATTGTGGCCGGCTCACTTTTTTGTGGGGCAGGAGGGGGCGTGGCGGGCCAATAAAATGAATGGCACCGTAGCCACGCCCTTTGGCCACAATGCGATCGACCGCATGGGATCGCAAGGCACATTGTGCCTGCGGTACGTCCGGTGCGGTGCAATCAAAAGAGTGCTTGCAGCAGTCCTGATGATCTAGTTTGTAGGTGATAATGATATCTGCAAGCACAGTACAGGCAGGGTTAATTAATAAAACAAAACTCCTCTAGCCCCCTCAGAGAGTGAGAACTAAGGATTTTTCAGTCCTGGAGTTTCCAGAAAAGACCATCTAAAAAAGGTAAGGTACAATTTTTAAATATTTTTTTGAAGTTATGTTATGTGAATGGGAACATGTAACAAATATAAAACAGGTGTTATCCCAATTTGGCTGCAAAAGTGGAAATACACTTAAGGGTGTAATATGACTACTGACCTGCAGAGTTTGTTCTCCTATGTTGCCTAAAGAGCAGCAGCTTTTATCATATTATCCATATTATGCAATAGACTAAAATGTCATTTGTTGGCGTAATGGCTTTGTTGATTTTTATGCATTCATTTATTTTTCTTTTACAGATAACAGTAACAACCTACTAGAGCTAAGTAGAGACAAGAACAATGAAAACCCCAAGTTGTTGAGGCTTGAAGAGATTCTGAAGGAGCACTTTCAGTCCTCGTCGGGTTCCCGTGGTATCATCTTCACTCGTACTCGGGAAAGTACCTACTCTCTGCACGACTGGATCACTAGCAATTCCGCTCTCAAAGAGCTAAAAATAAAGTCTGCAGCTCTGACTGGAGCTGGCTTCAGCAATCAGACCAAGCACATGACACAGGTATTGGACTGGTTATGTCTGCTGGCCAAAAATGACTACACTACAATTAATGCTCTTTTTAATATGTCAAATGCAGGAATGATGCAAAAAAATATAGTATTAATAATTCTCAAGTCACAATGACAAAACACTTTTTTTGTGGGATTTTTTTTTTGGACCAAGACATTGTCTTAGTACTGTGCTCCTAAGTCCTATAGTTATTGGAGACTGCCAGGGTGGAAGTATGTAGGCAGATAATTCATGCCCTGGCAGTCCCCGGTAACTGTAAGACTTAGGAACACAGGACTAAGACATTGCCTTGGTCCTCAAAAAACCCCCCAATTTTTTTAGCTTTAGCATTATTACCTATAGTGTGATGGCAACATCATAGTAATGTAATCAGCACATCATGCCAATGTACTGAAACCCCTTTGGCAATCCTAAAGTTAAATCATTTTTTAAATAGTCTTTGGTTCATTTAAAGTATTACTTCATATTCATATTCTGCGTTCACAGAATGAGCAACAGGATGTTATTGAAAGGTTTCGTAATGGCTCTCTAAATCTACTCGTCTCAACCAGCGTTGCTGAAGAAGGCCTTGATATCCCACAATGTAATATCGTTGTGCGTTATGGTCTTATGACTAACGAGATATCCATGGTGCAGGTAAGCTATTACTGTCTAGCTGTTTATGCAATAGGTGTTATGTAGAAAATGATGTACCCCTAGAGTAGATTCAGGGAGAAGTGTAAGAGCACAGGTCAAATATGTGCCTAAAAGTCATAAAATGCCAAGTTGCCATTTCACTTATATATACACACGGATAAACAATCCCTTTGATCGAAAATGATCATTTGATATGGAAAACAACAACAAAAACAACTGCAAAGAAATGGATCTATTTGGTCAGATTTGATCCGTACCGGTTCAGGCCCAATCATGACTGTTTTAATGAAAGTTAGAATTAACTGATGGAACCACCCATTTCCTGCAAGTGATTTCAGAAACATGATCCTTTTATTATTAGAATTGTTTTATAATGGATTTATATAGCGACCAACAATTTGCGCAGCACTTTACAAAATGGAGGAGACAGTACAGTTACAATACAATTTACACTACAATACAGTTTCAGTACAATAGGGTTAGGAGGGCTCTGCTCACGAGAGCTTACAATCTAGGAGGAGGGGCAAGTGATACAAAAGGTAATAATTGTTTAGATTGAGTTATTGGAGGAAGTAAAAGGCAGTTATGTTGAGATGAGATAGGCTTCCCTGAAGAGATGGGTTTTTAACGATCGCCAAAGGTGGGCAGCGTAGGAGATAGGCGGACAGATTAGGGTAAGTTGTTCCAGAGGATGGGGGACACTCTGGAGAAGTCCTGGAGGCGAGCGTGGGAGGAGGTAATTAGAGAGCTAGAGAGCAGGAGGTTTTGAGAGGCGCGGAGAGGACCGTTTGAGTGATATTTTGAGATGAGGTTGGGGCGGAGTTGTAGATGGCTTTGTATGTTGTTGTTAGTATTTTGAATTTTATTCGTTGGGCAAGTGGGAGCCAGTGGAGGGATTGGCAGAGGGGGGCGGCAGATACTGAACGGTTGGTGAGGTGGATGAGTCTGGCAGCAGCATTCATGATAGACTAAAGGGGGGATAGCCTGCTTAGTGGTAGGCCAACAAGGAGGGAATTACAGTTGTCAAGGCGAAAGATTACAAGGGAGTGAATTAGAAGGTTTGTGGTTTCGTTTGTTAAAAAAGGGCGTAGTTTGGAAAGATTTGAATAGTGATTGGATGTGGGGCTGAAAGGAGAGCTCAGAGTCAAGGATCACACCGAGTATCCTGGCTTGATGGGAGGGGTTGATCATAGTGCTGTTGATTGTGATGGGGAAGTTGGGGGATGGAACACGGAGAGGAGTCAGTTTTTGACAGATTGAGTTTGAGGTAGTGGTGTGACATCCATGCTGAGATGTCACTGAGTAGATTTGAGATACGTGAAGAGACAGAGGGAGTGAGCTGAGGAGTGGAGATATAGATTTGGGTGTCATCGGCATAAAGATGGTATTAGAAGCCATGGGAGGCTATCAATTGACCCAGGGAAGAAGTGTAGATAGAGAATAGAAGGGGCCCAAGGACAGACCCTTGGGGGACCCCCACGGGAAGAGGAGAGGAGGAGGTAGAATTGTAGGTGACACTGACGCCTTTTATCATAACAAATGTGATATTGAATAGTCCTGTTGTTACATGAATGGCCAACATTACACCAATATCTAACATTTTCCCAAGCATTTTATTACTCAGGTTTATACAAGTTTGTGTATATTTCTGAATGGAACTGTTTACACCTCAGCGCTGGTGCTGCAAGTGCGTTCAGTTGTGCGGACCCAAGCTCCTGCATGTGGCAGTTTTGATTAGGGCTTACTTAGTAATAGGCCTCCTAGAATGCCTTATCATCGAAGCGAAACTTTACTTTGTAATCCTTTTTATGACCTACTGTTTCCTGCACATTACTGTGAATAAGCTCTAGTCTACTGTATGGGTTCCTTACAGAATATTGATAAACACAGGCCAGATATCACTAGACACAGACTACGTCAAGCAGACAGAGAGTAACAGACATTGATGTACAGTACATGCATGCCATGGTGAAATCTGTGGTAATGTACGGTTGGCCATATACTAAATAGATTCTTTCATTCAGCCTGAGGACTGAACAAAAGGCATTGAACAGATTTAGCCTGGATGGAGAAATCCCCCCCCCTGCCGCGCTATTGTATACCGACAGCCGGTGCCCACCGCTGTCAGGATACCTGAACAGTGATTGTAGCTAATTTTCTGCAGTCACTGTTCAGCTGACTGTTTTCAGCCCAGCTCCTTCAACAATAGTTGATGAAATAATTTACTTTTCTCGAGCCGTCAGAGCCACCCATTGTTATAATTTCAGGTCGATCCTCTGAATCAGCCAGAAATTCTGACAGTGTATGGCCAGCTTTAGACTCCATCTGTCCTACAACGATTTGAAGCAAGCTACTGTCTGAACGCAAATGGTGTTCTACAAGGGTGGGCAAACGTCTGCCATAAAGGTGGGGTGAGTTAGACGTACAGAAACAGGGTAACTCCGGTTATAGCCTTCTGCCCATTTACACATGCTTTTTAAACAATAAAAAAAGTGAGGGGAAATTATCAAAACTGGAGCAGCTGTGCATGTCAACCAATCAGTGTCTCTGTTTCATTTTCAAATCCTAATTGAACAAACTGAAAAGAGAAGCTGATTGGTTGGCATGAACAGCTGCTCCAGTTTTTGTCTGCTCCAGTTTTGATAAATTCCGCCCACTGTATGTTAATGAGGGTTCAGTCTGTCCCTTAGTTTGTCCCTTTACTTTTAATCTGCATACTTTTAAAGTGATGCATTCTGGGTGAAATATGGAGCAAATACCCGTTGTGCTTTTTTTTAGGCTAGAGGAAGAGCTCGGGCTGAGGACAGTTGTTACTCATTTCTGGCCAAATCCGGAGGAAAGGAAAGCCGAAGAGAAATGACCAACGAATCTTTGGAAGATCTGATGAAACGAGTTATTGACCATGTGCAAAAAATGCCAGAGAAGGAATATGGCGAAAAGGTAAGTGATAATACCAGAAATCCCTGTTCAGGTCATATTCTGTTCCATTACACAAACAAAGGTACCTCCCATCTAGGTGAGGAGCAATGAAGTACTGCTCAGAACACAATGGGATGTATTTTTTTTAAATCTGGAGAGCCATTCATCCTACAAACCGAATGTACATTCGTTCTGTGCAAATGTACGGAATAACAAATGTTATTGGTATAATTTCTTTCCTGGTCGAGTGTAATATTAGGAAAATACCACATTATGACTGCTCCATCTAGTGGCACTAATGCAGTCTTTTCCTGATATTAACATTTGTTTTTGCCTCCATTTGCACAGAATGAATGCACACACAGTTTTGCAGTACAACTGGCTCTGCAAATGTTTAAAAAATACACCCCTATGTTGAGCAGCTTTGATACAACTGCCTCCTACATCCATAAGTACTGCTCAATCACGGAGGCTTAGCATCACCAGCATTACCTAGTGAAGTTTGCATGTGAATGCAGTGTACCTAGAAATACCCATAGTCATCAAGGCATTTTTATATTCGTATTACAATTCTAGCTCTAAGGGAGATTTATATCTATCAAATCTTATGTAGATTTATTTGGTTATAATGTCCTCTCAGTCCAATGAAATCCTTATTCCATTCTAAGCCTTAAAGAAAGGGGAGTGTTGTTACCCCCGCAATGCACTGGCTATTTTTGTGAACAATTAAATACACTTTTGCATTCTTTCGCCTTTTGGTTTGGCTTCCTATTTCTAAACATCTAAGAGTCAGCCCACTGTTTGGATGAGGACTCTTTAGGGGTGTACTGAGACAGAGTGTGGTGATTTTTTAAGGGAACTATACTGTATACAGCATATTGCTGGTCCCTCCTACCAGCCATGATCTGCCTGCATTGCTTAGATAAGCACAGAGATTGAATGATGACAGCACTGGCTCTATAGTGATGTATGTAATACAAAAATGGAAAGGTTTTATCTAAAAATACCATTAGCATATTGATGAGGGTAAGAGAAGAACCAGGGAGGGCAAAATATTATCTGACTGAACTTTAGCATTAAAAGATGGAGCCTTGTGCTGCACATGGCATGAAGTCCATTCTGACAGATTCCCTTCTTTTTTTTTTTTATAAATTCTTTATTTCAAGTTATTTCAGAATTTTGTGAAACATAACAGGGGAGTTATGCCCAGGTGGACTCGCAGGTCCGGGCACAACAGGAAAACGAAAATGTTCAAAGGTGGAGAGATTCCGTGAGTAGGTTTGGGGGTGCGGGAGGGATGACAGGAAGTGTGTGAGTTGGAGACAACGCCATGTCCCCAGGTTCATGAGGTCGGGATCAGAAGATTGGGCACCCAGGGTCTGCCAAGATGGACCATTCAAAAAATGCATCACTCGGAATTTGCCCCCGGCCAGAAGACGACGGAAATGTCCGTCCTCTAGACCCGGGGGGAACCCGGGGTTCCCTATGATCGGTTGCATGGGGGAAGGCTGAATGGACAATTTCGCCCGATCGAATGCCCGACTGGACACCTGCCATGTGGATCCCACCGTCGGGTGGGATCGGGTGGATCTGGGGATAGGCCCGGTGCACCACGGCAAGGCTGGTAGAGGAATTTCAGTCGCGGATTGTTCTAGAGCGATCCACGGCTTGGAATCTCCATGGCGGCACCAGTCTATCACTCGGGACAAGTGAGCGGCTGTGTAATAAAGGTGGAAATCGGGTAGAGCTAAACCTCCCGCTGCTTTTGGGCGCCGTAAGATCGGCAGCCGTAGTCTGGGAACTCTGCCTGCCCATATAAATTGAGACACCACCGTCTGCAGGGACCGAAAGAAGGCGCGTGGAATCAATATTGGGAGGGCTTGGAAGGGGTATAGGAGACGTGGAAGGATGTTTTGCTTGACTATGTTGCATCGCCCTGTCCAAGAGAATGTGGAGCGTGACCATCCTTGAAGATCTGTCCTAATCTTGTGCAGTAACGGGGGGAAGTTTAAGCTGTATACGTCCGCCAAGTTGCGGGGTATAAGAACCCCTAGGTATTTAAGCGATGTGGAAGACCACCGGTATGGAAAGTTTTGCGAGAGTCGTGACAGCATGGGGGGTGGGATTGTTAAATTCAGGGCTACCGACTTCTGAGTGTTAATGTGGTAGTTAGATAAGTCACCATAGTCTTGCAGCGCCGCCAATAAGTTAGGTATGGTAATGTCCGGAGCCGTTAAAAAAAATAGTAAGTCGTCGGCAAATGCCGCAACCTTGTGTGTAGTCCCCCCCACCGACGTGGTCAGAATAAGTGATGTTACCTATGTCCGATCGGGAGATCCTGGAAAGGTTACTGTGAGGTATCAGAAAAAAGTCGATCCGGGTATATGTGTCATGGACTGTGGAATGGTAGGAGTAGTCTCTAGCGTCAGGGTGGTGAATACGCCAAACATCGGAGAGCTGGTGAGCATGGAGGCATTTTTTCAGGCGTTTCAGTGCTGCAAATGGCAGGTGGGAGGACTGGTTAGTGGAGTCAACTAGATGGTCCAAGTGTAAATTAAAGTCACCACCAATCACAAGTAAGACCGAGCAGGACGTCTAGCCCGGCGTGGTTTTGGAGACATCGGGGATTCATCGGGTAGGTGTGCAAGCCAGTCCGGTAATCGAGGTGGTGATACCTGGAGTAGCTCGCAGAGGCCTGGAACATCCTCCGGGGAGCGGACCGTGAAGGAGGCACCTCCCTTGCGAACATGTAGACGGAGTGGATATCCCCATCTATAGGAGGCTCCTGCCTGAAGGATCAGAGAGAGGAGAGGCCGCAGCAGGGCCCGGCGCCGGAGGGTATTGCGCGAGAGATCTGGCATCACCTGCAGGGCCGCCCCGTCAAACTCCACCGGTTTTTTCAGCCAGGCCTGGCGTAGGATGTCCTCTTTCATGGGGTATTGTTGGATGCGGCAGACAACGTCTCTCGGGCGCGACGCTTCCGGAGATGGCGGGCCGAGGGTGCGGTGTACCCTGTCCAGTAGGATGGATTCCGGCGGTATATCGGGGAGTAATGAGCCAAATATGGCCTGCACCGTGGAACGGAGGTCCGCCGGGTTTGTAGCCTCCGGCAGGCCCCGTATTCTCACATTCTGCCGACGGTTACGGTCCTCGAGATCCTCCATTCGCAGTTGGAGGGCCGCAATGTGCGGTGACGTCTCCGGATGAGCGTGCTCCAAGGCCAGAACCCTGTTTTTCAGGGCCGCACGCGTGGAGGTCACCGCGGATACCTCCGACGATACCGTCTGGATCTCCTGTCACATCTTAGATATGTCTCGCTGAAGAGCTGCCTCCACTCTAGTGACCAGGGCCGCAAAATCTTCCTTGGTGGGTAGGTAGTTCAGCAAGGCCCGGAACTCCTTCGGGACGTCAGACGTTGCTTGCGAGAAGTGTAAGAGTCCGCGTCCGTGGAGTCGGAGTCGTATATCTGGGGTGAGTGTGCACCGGAACGGAGTTCATTCGGTGTGGGGGAACGAGACCGGGCATTGCCTCTAGGTGTGCGCAGGAGACGGGGCTCGGACGCCATGATGGATTGGTCCCGGCCTCGGGGCCTGGTGCGGGTCGAGGTGAAAAACTCCTGCATCGAGGGGGTACCCCGCTGTGAGGCTTGCTTGTCCTCTTTGCTGCGTTTGGACATCTTGTGTGACCCAACTTAGAGGGGTATAAGTCGGTATAAGTGGAGTGTAAGGATGAAACCCACGGAGCTCGCTGCGTTTGCTTCTTACTCCGCCATGAGCAGGACACGCCCCCCCAGATTCCCTTCTTAGTGTTGCTGAGTGACACCTCTGTAGTAAAAGTTGTGTGTAGTACAGAATTTGCTTATAGGTTTTTATCTCAACTCGTTTCAGGACAAAGCACCATCCCTTCTTCAAGGAAACACAGGAGCATCCTTGGCATAAAGTGAATAATTACATTTAATCTCCTGGTGGTGGACATAACCGCCCCTCCTGACTGATTAATACTTTTGCGACTGTGTTTGTCACAGGCAGTATTTGATTAAAACAGAAGCAAGGTTATAAATACTGTACAGATTAAAATGAGCAAAAATATAATATATTAATATACATATAAATACATACCCATAAAATATAATTATCAATGAATAATTATGCTTTTATGAACCCAAGATACAGCTTAGAAGAAAGCTCTATATGTCCCCGGAAAATGGTGTAAAATTCATTTCAGTACAGCGTTGCATGGCTGAATAAGTGTCAGTCAAAGTTGCAGTGCTGAATACTGGAAAATCGTCTGTACAGGAAGGGGGTTTAACACACCAGGCTTCAAGTGGTTAAATATTTGTAGCTTATGCTACGTGAATGGGAACATGTAACAAATATAAAATAGGTGTTATCCCAGTTTGGCTTGGAAAGTGGAAATACATTTTAAGGCACTCTGTTAACAGTCATGTGACTATAATTGGAAAATCTCATTGGACTCACTGGCTGGAAATAACTCACCTTTTACAAAACAAAGATCCTTATCATGGTGCGTTGGCTTTGTGAATTGAAACGTTTCTTATATCCCTTATGTCGTGAATTTATCCAAATAGCTTGTCTGACCTCTAGTGGTCAGAAGTGGTACTATTTCACTGACGATAATATAATCTCTCTCTCTCTAAAAATCTCTCTCTTTCGAAAAATCTCTCTCGAAAAAAAAAATCTCTGTAGTTTCATTGAGACCCTTAGGGAATCAGTACCTGATTCCTGTATCCAGTGTCTCTGCTGTACATAGTTACATAGTTTGTTAAATCTGTACGGTTGATAACACTTACAAATTTGTTGGAATGGAATTATATTTAAACTTGAAAACCACTATTGTGGTGTGTAGAAAAGTGCCTTTACACACTAATGTTAAAAAGTTTCCTGCTGGCACCTCACCCCAAAACATGTAGCAATAAAAGTAATTGATGGCCTATAAGAGGATTCTGTACTGCACACAACTTATACCAAAGAAATGTTACTTACCACCACTCAGATGGGAAC